GGGAGGGAGGGAGACCTGGACCTGGACCTGGATCAAGAAAGGTGGAAGAGTTTCCTCAGTCTGATGCCACACCTTGTGGCCATCTGCACGGCGTGCTGGGGGCTGCTCCACCTGCTGCTCAGCAGGAACATCAAGGCAGAGTCTTTTGGGATAACCAAGGGGAAGGACAAGGTCTGCGTGCACAATAACATGATATCCACGACGCACGCCGTCTTCTCGTTCGTGTGCGGAATCATCTACTTCGCCAAGGGTTGGGCGCAGGAGGTCGCACACAAGGAGTTCGCCTTCAGCGAGTACTTCCACGTCGTGACTGCAGTGTCGGTCGGTTATATTCTTTACGATGTCGTCTTCCTCGCCATCTATTTCGAGTACATGAAGAACCAGTTGACCACGATCTTGGTCCACCACGCCATCTTCGTGTTCACCTATTTCCTGTCCCAGGTAAGTGGAAGCAGCACCAGCAGCACCAGCAGTGTGGAAGGTTTGAGAGACCAGAGAGCACGGGGAAAGCGAAATTGGCTGACGAACCCTTTCCTGAACCCTTTCCTTCACGATGAATGCATTGGCATTCTCCATTCTCCATCTTCGTTTCGTTTGGTTTGCTAGTACGTTCCCTGCACGCTGGGCATCGTGCTGTACTTTTGGTTCTCCCTGACGGAGATCAGCACGCCTTTCTTGAACTACAACTGGTTCTTGATGAAGGCGAACTTCAGCAAGGAGCTGTGGAAGAAGAACGGGTACGTGCTGCTCCTGACGTTCGGAATTCGCTGGATCATCACGGTCGCGAGCTTGCCCTTCCTTTGGTGGTACCACACAAACCACGTCGCGAACGGGAAGATCTATTCCCAAGTGAATTCCAAGTTCCATTGGCTGGTGGACGGCTATCTCTTCTTCTTCGCCCTCGGGGTCGGGGGCCTCCTCCTCCTCAACTCGTACTGGTACTACGTCCTGCTGAAGAAGGCCTACGATGCGATCACGAACAAGTCCAGCGACAAGGAAGAGTGAGGAGACACCAGGCAGGGAAGACCGGGCCGTCGGACGCGGCTGCTGCTGCTGTTGTGCGTGCGTGTGTGTGTGTGTGGGGGGGGATGTTGAGGAGCCTCACCTGAATCGGGTCAGGGGAGAATAATAATAATAATAATAATTGGTCTTTAATCGCAACGCAACACACACTAGCGACACGACGACGAACGTTTTCTTTTCTTTTTTGGGGGGGGAACAACAACAAGTTCGTCCTTGTGGCAGAAGAGGTAGGCGTTTGCAGAAAAGGTAGGTGTTTGCGTTCATTACACAACAAGGCAAGCGCAAGCCGAGCCTTCCTCCCACACTTTTTTTTTAGTAGTTCTAGAAGTATTTATCGTTATAAACAAGTTGTTGTTGTTGTCTCCATCCCGGCTCTCAGTCGCAACGAATATAGGTCTTTACTCTGAGTCCTTGATGGTCTGGGCTCCCTTCAGTCTACCCGTTCTCCTGGCGGCGATGAGACCGACCTTCATACCTGGAGGCGCGGCCCTGGACATGGTCGATGGGTGACCAATATGCTGGTGGTTACCACCTCCGTGAGGATGCTCTACAGGGTTCATGGCAACACCCCTAACCTTAGGCCAGCAGTTTCTCTTCACCTTGTACTTGTGGTAGCTGGCTCCGGCCTTGAGAAGAGGCTTCTCGGTTCTTCCGCCTCCCGCGACCTGGCCAATCATGGCTCTGCACGCCGAAGGGATGAGCTTCTTGCTTCCGCTTGGGAGCTTGATCCTCGTGACGCCAGCGTCGACGTTGTGGGCCACGATGACTCCGTAGGTTCCACTCGCCCTCGCCAACGAGGACCTGTCTCCTGCGTACCTCTCGATGTTGCAAATCACGGTACCCTCCGGCATGCTTCCCACGTTCTTGACGTTTCCAATGGAAAGCGTCGCCTTCTTTCCAGAGTAGATGAACTGTCCGGTGTAAAGTCCCTCCGCGGCGATGAAGGTCTCCTTCTGGTGCTTGTACCTGATGGGGTCCCTGAACGTCACCCTAGCGAGCGGCGCACCTCTACCGGGGTCGTGAAGGATCTCCTTGATAACCCCCTTGACGTATCCCTTCTTCTCCGAGAAGTCGAACCTCCTCAACTTGGCGGCACCCTTCCTCGTCCTGGAGACGGACTTGAAGATCCCTCCATTACCCTTCCTCTGTCCACGAATCACGCGTCCCATGTTGTCGTCGCACTAAAGCACCGTCGCCGAGCTTCAACCCTGCGTTCTCTGCCGCTCGCTCCTCTTCTCTTCTCTTTTTTTTTTTTCCCTCTCCGCCGCCGCCACGACAACATCCTCTTCGAAAGACATTCCAATGAGAAACGTCTAGTACGAAATACAATGCGTTATATCACGTAGCATTTGCTTTTATACATCCATATTACGTTCTTTCATGACGTGTATCGTAGGAATGTGTATTGCGGAATGACCAGCCGTCAACCTCCTGGAGAGTAGAGATTCCATCTTGGTGATGTGGGGTCCTAATAACGATGTTAACTACACTCATTATGAGATATCCTCAAGAGACCGGGTCGATCGATCGATCGCAGGGCGCACGAGGGAGAGGGAGAGAAGGTGAGTTTGAGAGGGGCGCCTTGGGACGAGAACAGGGGAAACGGGTGATGAACTTGGGACCTTCGGAAGCGTCTTTATGTTCTCTTTCGATCGGTACCGTTCTTGAAGGGTTTAGTGCTGAGAAACGGATTTTGTTTTCGTTTGTTCCTCCATGACATGACATGACATGACACAGCAGCAGATGATGATGATGGAAGCGGTGGAGAGGACGCTGCTCAAGGCGGTGAGCGAGGGGTGCGTGGAGAACTCGCTCGAGTTCGCGAGCAAGAACGCGGCCGGCGGGTTCGATCACAAGGACCTGTGCAGTGCGATACGGTCGCTGTCGGCGAGTGGGCTGGTGGTGGCCAAGGAACACGCGACGCAGGTGACGGTGTTGACCGAGGAGGCGCTGGGGTACGTGAGCCAAGGGTCCTCGCCGGAGGCTCAGGTGTTCGCCGCCGTGAGGGAAGCGATGCCGAGCGGGTTGACGATGTCTCAGCTCAAGGACAAGGTCGGGGGGCAGGTCGCGGGCGTGGGGTTCAAGCAAGCCATGCAGGCCAAGTGGGTCTCCGTGCTGAAGCAGGACAAGCCCAAGCCCAAGCAGGGGGAGGAGGAGGGGGGGGGGGCGGCGGCGGCGAAGAAGAAGGAGCCCAAGGCGGAGCCGACCATTCTGGCGTCCTGCGAGTCGGTCGAGGACAAGTGCTTGGTACTCCTCCAGTCGGTGGCCAAGGGCGAGGAGGTGGGGCCCAAGGACGCCCAGAACCTGAAGAAGAGGAAGCTGATCGCGGTGGAGAAGACGAACTTCTTCGAGGTGGCCAAGGGCCCGAAGTTCGCCCTGGAGAGGAAGAAGGAGGCGACGGACCTGACGAGGGACTTGCTGACGAACGACAAGTACACGTCGGTGGCCTTCAAGCGGTACAACTTTCGGGCCATGGCCCCCGAGCTGTCGGGCGGCCACCTCCACCCCCTCCTCAAGGTCAGGTCCCAGTTCCGCAAGATCTTCATCAGGATGGGCTTCGAGGAGATGCCCACGAACCGCTTCGTGGAGAGCAGCTTCTGGAACTTTGACGCCCTGTTCCAGCCCCAGCAGCACCCGGCCAGGGACGCCCACGACACCTTCTTCCTGACCAAGCCCATGTTCAGCGACTCGGCCAAGTGGCCCGCGGACTACCTGGAGAGGGTGAGGAAGGTCCACGAGGAGGGGGGCTACGGGTCCCTGGGGTACGGCTACAACTGGAAGCTCGAGGAGGCCCAGAAGAACATCCTCAGGACGCACACCACCGCCGTGTCCAGCAGGATGCTGTACCAGGTCGCCAAGAAGATGGAGAGGGAGGGGAAGTTCACCCCCTGCAGGTACTTTTCGGTCGACAGGGTGTTCAGGAACGAGAGCGTGGACCGGACCCACCTGGCGGAGTTCCACCAGTGCGAGGGCCTCGTGGCGGACAAGGACCTCAACCTGGCGCACCTCCTGGGGACCATCAAGGAGTTCTTCTCCAAGATCGGCATGCGCGACGTGAAGTTCAAGCCGGCCTACAACCCCTACACGGAGCCCAGCATGGAGATCTTCGCCTTCCACCCCGGCCTGGGCGAGTGGCTCGAGGTCGGGAACAGCGGGATCTTCAGGCCGGAGATGCTCAGGCCCATGGGCCTGCCGGAGGACGTCAAGGTCATCGCCTGGGGCCTGAGCCTGGAGAGGCCCACCATGACGCTCTACGGAGTGGACAACATCAGGGAACTCTTCGGCCACAAGGTCGACCTGGACATGATCAAGAGGAACCCATTGTGCCGGATCGGACTGGACTAGGTGGAGGACTGGGCTGGGTGGAGGAGGAGGCTGGGCTGGGTGGACGACTAGGTTTTAGGGTAGGCTAATGATGATGATGATGATGATGATGATGAGGAGGAGGAGGTGAATTTTTTTATAGTTTAGGTTTCGTTGAATTCAATCCACGCGGGACACGAAGGAAGGATGTGGCGTGGCCCCTTGCCTTTCTCTTCTCTCTTCTCTCTTTGCTCGTATTTTTTTTTGGGTGGAGAATTCCTCACAAGGGATCCTCAACCAAGGCCCGCCCGCCCTGAATTCGGCAGCTGAACACGGTCACCTTGATGTTCTGCAGTGGCTTCGGAGCCAGGACCCGCCCTGTCCTTGGACCCGAGAGGAACGCAGGAGACAGGCGGAGATGTACACGAGGATTATGGCATCGTCGAGTGGATCGAGGAGAACCGAGGATCAGGCGAGGAGGAATACTACGAGGAGGAATACTACGACAGTGATTATTCCTGGGACGCGATGTGTGAATGCAATTCCTCGCCAAGGCACTTCACGCGTTGCCTTTCTCTCTCGTCTGTTACGGAAGAGGAAGAATAATCTGAAGAATCCATAGAACGTACATAAACACCAAATCTGCTTTTGTCAGCATGTGATTAGCACAGAAGACGCTTGTAGTCTAATGGTGAAGATATTTGCCTTCCAAGCAAAGGATCCGGGTTCGATTCCCGGCGAGCGTACTCTTTTTTTTTTGTTCCTCCGGGTGAAGTTAATTGCACAAGGATCGATCGTCCGACAAAAAAAAATCGACAAGAGCCACTACTACACGATATATAAACTATATAAAATATATAAAATATATATATATTCACTCGCACCCCCCCCCCTCTCCCCCCCTCTCTCCTCTTCTACCGCGTCACCGTGGTCCACCCGTCGTCGTCCTCCCTCCTCTCCCTCTTCTCCTCCTCCCTCCTCCTCTCCCTCTCCTCCCTCGCCCTCTCCCTCTCCTGCCAGAGCTGCTCCTGGACGCTCCGGTCCAGCACCGCGCCCAGCCTCCTCATCTCCTCCGTCTGGGCCCCCTCCAGCTCCTGCACGAGGGTCCCCTCGTTCCTGGCCGTCTCCCAGAACACCCGCGTCACGAGGCCCGCCACCTGGCCTGGGCTCTCGTCCTCCGCCTGGGTGTTCCAATCGTCGATGAGCTCGTTGTCCAGGAGGTCCTCGAGCTCGTCCGCGTACACCTCCTTGGTTTCCGTCAGCCAGCACACGACCTTGTCCACGAGAACCCTGGCCTTCTCCTCGCTGTCCTGGCCGCCCCACTGGTTCGCGATCGCCAGCTGCAGAGCGGTCCACCTCGTGAACACCAGGATCACGCCCTTCCGTAGCTGCTCGACGTGTTGGGGCGTCAGCTCGGGCCTCTGGGCGTCGCGCATGCCGAGCGCGTACCCGCTCCTCAACTCCATCGCGGCGACCGACCCCCCCCCCCTCTCTCTCTCTCGCTCCTCCCTCGCTCCAACAAGCCAAGTCGAAGAGCTGCCGAGCCGCCAGGAAGAGCGCGCGCGAATCCCCTGATTTGAGAGGAGCAGGAGTCAGTGAAGGAAGGGGGGACCGACCAGAGAGAGAGAGAGAGAGAGAGGTCTGGATGGATGGATCCCAGGAAGGACTCGCTCGATCTCGATTTCGATCCAGACGACGTGAATAATGCAAGCGTGCTTTGCGATGGGGTGGACGCGGCGGCGGGTCTGTCGACAGACCTAACCTACGGTGATATTAGGAGGATGATGATGATGATGATGAGGAGGAGGAGGAGGAGGAGGAGGAGGAGGAGAAAAAGAAGAAAAGCACGAAAGACATCCTCATCCCCCCAAAAATCGATCCTAAGCCGGATCCTCAGTGATCCTAAAACCTAAGCCGATCCTAAAGCATTCCTGAAGCCCATCCTAAAACCTAAGCCGATCCTAGAGCATTCCTAAAACCATCCTAAACACCCATCCTAAAACGTAAGCCGATCCTAATTGATCCTAAAGCCCATCCTAAACCGATCCTAAAACCAATCCTAAAGATCAATCCTTAAAACCGGTATCCTAAACCGATTTATCCTAATGATGATGATCAGGAACAACCTTGTCCACTTCGGTCACAAGGGGGGAGGGGCCAGAGAAACTACGATCCAAGGAAGGACTCTTGCTTGCTCTCTCCACTGCTTTCGCTGCCCTTCCGTTCGTTCCCTTCGCCGTCCCCGCCCTCGCACAAAGTCCTCGACAAAAACAACAACACCTTTCCCGCGAGCGTTACCGTTACTATTACTGTCCGGCCGCCAGGCAGGAGATCTTGCATCATCATCATCATCAACAAGAAGAGGGCAGGGTGGTGGTGGTGGGTTCAGGACAGGGGGTGAATGAGTGAGTGAGTGAATGAGTGATTCCACCACCACCACAACCACTCGTCCTCGTCCTCGTTCTGTACCCAATACAATTTTTTGCGATTACATTACGAGGATAGATATTCCCAAACATCCCTTTCTTGCCTACAAAAACACACACACACACACACACATTTATATATATCCCCCTCCGTCCGTCCGTCCAACCCCTCCCCTCCCTCCTCGTCCTTCCACCAACCTACCCCCTCCTGGCGGAGAAGGCCCTCCTCCTCGTGTAACTGCTGCTGCTGCTGCTCTCCCTGTCCCTCTGCCCACTGGCGACGCTGGCGCTGCTCCCCCAGGTGCTCCAGCGGGGCCGGTCGCTCTCGCTCTTCTCCATCTCCCGCCTCAGCCTCAGCCTCTCCTGCTGCTTGGAGACCTCGTCGTACAGCAGGGTGAAGCTCCCGGTCTCCTGCAGGGGGGAGACCCCTCCGGAGATGAAGTTGGGCACGCCCCCCGAGGAGGACGAGGACGACGAGGACTTGTGCCCCCCCCCGTGGTGGCCCTGCTGCTGCTTGTGCCACTGCTTGGGGGCCACGCACTTGAGCGTGTCGTTGATCAGCTGGAACTTGAGCAGCCTGTCCGCGTGCGTGGTCGCGGAGAGCGACGGGGAAGCGTTCACCTCGATCAGCCAAGGCTTCAGCGTGTCGTCCACGATGATGTCGTACCCGTAGAGCTCGAAGCAGTGCCTGTCGTTGATCATCACTGCCTGGCACGCCTTGAGCGTGTGAACGATGATGCTGTCGATGTCCTGCATCAGCTTGTTCGTCTTCTCCAGGCCGTAGTTGGTCTTGAGGTAGAACTTGAGGCTCTCCAGGGGCCACTTGCTCCCGTGGTTCTCGTTGTACGACTCGCTGTGCTTCTGGACCGCCACGTTGGTGAGGTGAACAAAAGCGTTGTCGAGGTCGTCCTCGTCCTCGGTGTACTTGAAGTTGCAGAACCTGGCGAAACACAGGGAGGACTTGTACGCCAAGAGCGGCCGGTAGCTCCTCACGCAGACGTACAGCCTGAGGTCGAACTTCTTCCCTCCGACCAGCAATGGGTTTTGGATGTACTTGGACACCACGTAGGCGTCGGAGCTGTTCACCTTGATCGCCCCGGGCCACTGGGTGGCGTACCACTTGCGGACCTGGCTCAGCTTGTTGATGAGGAAGATTCCCTTTCCCTGGGCCCTCGCGGACGGCTTGAGGATCCAAGTCGAGTTGGGCTGCTTCCTGTACTCCTCGGCGAACAGCGCGTAGTCCCCAGGCAAAACAAAGGTCGTGGGAACAAAGTCCAGGACGGACACATCCCTCCCCTCCCGGTTCATCTCCTTCCTGTACCTCTTCATGTTCTTCACCATCAGGTCCTTCCGCGTGATCTCGTAGTGGTTCGGAAAGTGGTTGATAAGCTGGTGGTCGCTCAACCTTATGTGAGAGTCCGAGCTGAACACCTGCTTGGTCGAGTACACGCTCGCCCACCAGATGTTCCAGTCGTCGTGGTCGGACTCCTTCCACTTTTGCCACCCTCGACGCTCGAAGTTCACCACCACGCACGCCTTGTCAAAGTCAGTCCGCCTGGTTCCGGTTCCGGAAACAGCATCAACAGCATCATATTCATCAACAGCATCATCACAAGCAGCAGCAGCAGCAGCAGCAGTAGCAGCAGCAGCAGCAGCAGCATGAGTCAGAACAACGTGCGTGAGCACACAAGTGAACACACACACACACACACACACAGAGAGAGAGAGAGAGAGAGAGAGAGAAGGTAACGAATGGTTGGTGTGACTCATTGGTTCTCAAAGTACTCACCACTTGACGTTGAAGACGCGGTCCTTGAGGACGTACATACTCCCGTTGCCCAGGACCATGGGTGGAGGTCGTCGTCTGTCGCGTGTTCCTTGTTTCCTTGTTTCCTTGTCTTGGCTCGAACGAGATGGCGAAGAGGAACAAGAAGGCCTCGCCTTGCGCGGTACGGAAGTGCGTGTTCAAAGGTGGTATCTTGGACGCGCAATCCTCATCGCCGCATCGCCTCCTCCCTCTGTCCTCGCGCCTTCTCTCTCTCCTGGAGGATTTTTGCGCGGGAAGCGGGACAATGCTGGAGGAGGGACAGTTTAGGAGGACCAAAGGGAAGGGAAGGATCAAGTCTGGAGATCCTTGTGATCGCAAAGTACGGTTCGAGGAGAAGGGGCAATCGAGGAGAAGGGGTAATCGAGGAGGAGGGGCAATCGAGGAGGGGGTTCTCTGGAAGAACTGACTCCGACAAAGAAATGAAAAAGAAAAGAAAAGAAAAGGTGTTTTTTATTTTTTGACCCCCAACAGTACGTGTGCGAAACGGCGTCCGATGATTAGGGAAAACGTGGTGCTGGATCACACAGGGAGGGACCGGTTTCAGTTGCCGTTACCGTTTCAATTCAGTTCAACCTCAAGGTGTTGTCTCAAAGAAAAGAATCATATATGTAATACAAACACACACACACACACACACAGAGGAGACAACGTTGAAGAGAAAAAAAAACATCTACATCTCATTTCTGTCATTGCTGTTGTCCTATCCTAAGACCCCTTCACCACCCTCAACAACCTCACCTCTGCCGCGCGTCTTCTTCTTCTTCTTCCGTCGTCCGTCCGATCATCCTCATCCTCATCCTCATCCTCATCCCACACACCACACACTAGTCTAGTCTAGTGCTTCGTAGTGTGCTTCGTAGTGTGCTTAGTGCTTGGCCTGGAAATCCTTCATGAAGGACACGAGCTTCTCCACCCCCTCGAGGGGCATGGCGTTGTAGATGGACGCCCTCATTCCTCCGACGGACCTGTGGCCCTTGAGGTTGATCAGCCCGTTGGCCTCGGCCTCCTGCAGGAAGACCTTCTCGAGGTCTGGGTTTTCCGGGATGGTGAAGGGAACGTTCATGGCGGACCTCACCTTGGGGTCCACGGGGCAGTCGTAGTACCCCTGGCTCTGCTTGATGGTGTCGTACAGCAAGCCGCACTTGGCCTTGTTGATCTGCTCGACCTTGTCGAGGCCGCCGAGGCTCAAGAGGTGCTTGAACACCAGGCCGCACATGTAGATGGAGAAGCAAGGGGGAGTGTTGTACAACGAGCTGTTCTCGTCCATGATCGTCCAGTCGAGCATCGTCGGGGTGCCCTCCCTGACCTTGCCGAGGAGGTCCTTCCTCACGATCACGATGGTCACGCCGGCCGGGCCGACGTTCTTCTGGGCGCCCGCGTAAATCACCCCGTAGTCGCTCACCTTGACGGGCTTGGAGCAAAAGTTGCTGCTCATGTCGGCCACGAGGGGGACCCCCTGGTAGATGCCGCCGGCGGCCTCGTCCAGCACGGA